CATTTATGATTCTAAATGAAGTGATGTTTTAATAACAGTTACAGAATTCAAATGAAGCCAAAGATTTTTTTCTACGAATTTGACATTTGCACTTGGTCATGTACTTATCCTTGGGACATTTATATACTGACACGCAAAAGAAACGCAACAATCAGTAATCTACAAATGTTTTAATATTTTTATCTTATGATTTTCAAAAGCGAATAAAGTAAGTCTAAACTCATTTTTCAGAACATCAGAGATTTGATAAAAATGTTAAATGTTTATCACTTTACTTTACTAAGTAAAATATGACTGTTTAAACACCCCCCTCCCAGCCATTCAAGTAAAACTTGCAAGACTGCCCTAAAAAACAATTGCAGCTGAATTTCTACGATAAAATAGGTTCATTTATATCGAAATCTGAGCGAAAGAATTATTCTTTGGCATTTTTAAATGCCCGTTTTTTTAGAAGATTAGGTCGAATTTTCTCTAACTTAGAGCAGTGTAGCCATCCTTGGACTTCCGGTACAAAGAATGTCTTGAATGCATATGATACGTAAGACTTTGTTTAGGCGTAATGTAGTGAAATTTCACTTCAGCAACTCTCCATCACCTTTACATTAAAATTTTCCAGCTAGAGCAATTGAAATGCGTACATAAGCTATTTTCAAGTAGCCTTAGCATCGTTACGGGAAACGAAAGGATAGTTTATTTTTTGAAATATTGCTGCATTACTTATGATGGACAGTAAAATACCCTTAAAACACCATAATATTGCCAAATGTTTTGTTAAAGACGCAATTTTTGTTTTCTGTTAAGCAGACTTAAACTTGACTTCCGGTTTTGGTATGGAAATCTTCAACCGTTAAATTAGCGATGTTTACCTAATTGAAGATATTCATAATTTTAAGATACAAAATTCTTCACCTCACATAATTATTTCTTCCTAAAGTAGGGTGTTGCGTTTCTTTTGCGTGTCAGTATATTATAATACCATGGTATTTACTTCCTAGCATATAAAGTAAGCAGATACTACACTAACACGTAAATGTGTTAATTTCCTTGTTATTGAAATGTTCTATACATGTGCTATAATTTAACAGGTGTTTTTTAACTGAACTTTCCTCTCAATTTACACGACTTGTGTTTTGGTGGGTTTTCAAATAAATGCAATTTTTTCCTAATACGTATAATAAGGATGAAGAAAAATACCGTGCCGTTTATATTGACAAAAAATTAAATAACAAATTTTTTCTCTCACTTTTGCATCCAACTTATCACTGATATATGTACCTTAATCGAATACTATTTCAAGCAAAAAAAAAAAAAAAAAAAAAAAAAAAAAAAAAAAGAAAAGGTACCATGAGGTACCATGATTACATCCGATTCACATTGGATTTTCATTTGGCCCCACCCCATTCATTAATGTAAATGACTACATGTTCTCCCCAATTTTAGTAAATACAAATTTCATGTGCATTGCTTGATCAAAAACGATAGACTTTGAGGTTCCATGGCAATTGTCATGCATAAAAAGGCTGTTTAAAGTTAGAAATGTAATAAAAAGAAATATCTTGTATTATATAAGAAGATTATTTTCGTAGTTTTCATTGGCTAAAAGGACGTCACGTAATTTTCCTCCTTTTGTGATATCGACGCGAAAGCGCGTCGGCGGAAAATCATATCGCACGACACAGCGTTCGCGGTTGCATTAAGTTACGTAGAACGTGAAGGCATAATATTTAGAAACGTGTTTAAACCATTGTGACGTAATGACAGCCAAGTCTGTTTAGTTAGATCTGTGTCAATGCATTCACTTTGAGTGATTATATAATATAACTATTATGGACTTCAGTGAACAGTCAATATGTGATTATAAGGACCAATGGCAATTGATATCGACCTCAGACACAGAAAATGATAGCGACCTCGCAGGCTCGGTCGCTATCACTTTCTGTGTCTTCGTTCAATATCAATTGCCATGAGTCATTATAACCACATATCGACCGACACTGAAGTCCATAGTTGTATGATATGTTATGGGTAATTTCTTTATTGACCTGAACCACCTGTCTGTGATAACATAAACATCTACAATGTAGTATACTAGTATGTTTTTTGATTCATTCATCGGATCGAAAATTTGTTCTCAGTAAGCGACTATGACGGCATAATAACAATAGCCATATAAGGAAGATTCCTCGGACATGTATATACATATAGTAGAACCCGCCTACTCTTCATCACTATTCATAAAAGAAAATACGGTCACACATCAGGCTGAATTTTGCTATCATACGGTTTAAAAAAATCCGGTTGGTGATTTTTGATAGAATGGAATTTATAAATATAAAAATGAAAAACAAAAAGAAAACAAAATTGGAACTTAGATAGTAAAAATCTACCAAAGGTTCACCTGTTCACATTTAATATGACAAACCTGCAACAATTACATTTTCAGTATATTCTGAATAAATCATAGAATATGAAACAGAATTGAAGATGGTCGACTGGAGTTTTATTATGTAATCTCTTCATTTTTATACTGTATCTAACTTATATATTGTCAGTACACATGCCAAGGTTGGGGGATTAAAATCTACCGTCCAGGTACTTTGAGGGACCGTCTCAAAATAGAGGTACATTTACTAAATTATATAGGAAAAGCAAATTATACAATACTACAATAGAATTTTTGTTCAAGCTATAATATTTGATGAGGTATATAAATTTCAAGAGCGTATGTTAATTACTTTTGCTTTAATAACATTTTATTACCCCTTCAGTTCATCATGTCAAAAAGACACAAATCAATTGCAAAAATGGTTAAACATCAGTTATATAAAACTGTACTTACATTTTAAGTCTGTATAATTTCTTAATTTTGTTTATATTTATTAATTTAGCTAAAAAAATCGCTTTAGAGCTGTAAATACGATTCATTTTATTATGATGCGCAAAATACTGCGCAATGAAAACCACATTCGCCCCCCCCCCTTAAATATTGTTTCGTTTCAATCAACAAACAGGTTTTAAGGGCATGAAGAACTTAAGCAAACTCTAAACATTTTTTATTCAGAAAAAGTGACAGATTTCTCTGAGTCAATTAGATGCACACATTGGATTCCATTTATAAATCCTTTACCTTTTATTATATTATTAATTATAATTTATAAAGGAGCACACGATGGATGTGACTAGTCAACAGAGGATGCTCATTCCTCCATAGCACCTTATCCAACCTCTGATATTTCGTTTGTTTTGCTCCTATTTTTTTATTGTTTTATGGACATTTGATCTTGAATACTGTTCTTTATCTCAATATGTTTCAGAAAAAATGCATTGTTTTTGGGATCCTCGATATATAACATATATTCATGTTTCCTGATAATATATTTTGGATAGGATATTTCCCTATATAATATGATTCATTATAATGAGGAACCTAGAAGAAATTATATTGTTTATACACGTTTAAATTTAGAGTATTTTGTGAAATGAGAATTTTTATCAGTATTTTCAATTTCTATGAAATTCGAGCATGTTGAACTATTTTTTTTAATTCTTCCTTCTACATAATGACAAACAATAAATGAAATACATATTAGTTTAACATATGGATAAAATATTGAAACATTTGGAAATTTTGTAATACTTGCTTGACTGCAAAAAGTTATAAACTATCTATTGGTTATGATTTACTTTAGTATGACAATGTACACAAATAATATACATTTATATATGCAAATATTATATGAATAAATGTTCCCATTATCTTGAGATATTTCCTCGCTTCAAAACACCGTTCTAAATGATAGCATAGTCTAGCAATAAGCCTGACAATAAATTATTATAAATGTACATTAAAATATGCATGATTCAGCATATGTACGTAGTGACTTACCTGTACAAGGATTAAATACAAGGTTAAAAGAACCAAATCTATATTCAGATATGATAATCACACGTTCATTTATATTTCAAATATATTTCACTTATTAACTGTACAAACTATAGAGATCTGCCATTGATTCGTCGGCGAGTGATTCTGGTTAACAAAGATTTAAAAAATACATGTAACAATTAAAATGGTATACTGCACACAGTTTCCATTTAAAATCGATTCCTTGAAAACTACTTTGCTTTAAAAATCATATCATCAAAAAGGTTTTTAATCAATTTTTGTATTAAAAAATAAAAAAAATTAAAAGAATTTGAATACAAAATATATAAATATAAAATGAAATGTAGGTTGCAAAACGAAATAGTAAATGCAAATGCAATGTTAATTTTTTTGAAATCGTCTTTGTATCAATATTATGTAATAGCAAAGAGTGCAAAAAGTGTTAAATCTAACTGCTATCTTTTTAAAAAGTTAGCAGACGAATTATAATCTTTATTTTTCTATTTACGTTGTAATTAAATTGATATTTCATCTATATATCTATTTAATATGTAATCTTTTTCACTGAAATAATCATGTCTTTTTGTGAAAATGAAATATTAGTTTTTCTCTATTGTAAACTTTTGAATATTGAAAAATATACCGATCCAGGGAGCTCCTGGTACCCTAGGTGAGGTATTAACCGACGGCTTCTGAGGAAGTTTTGCCTCAAAATTCGTTGTATGTTATTGGAAATAAATGTATTTTTAAAAAAGAGAATTTGAATAATATGTGTCTTGAATTTGAGTTGAGTATGTATATGTGATAAATTATGAAAAAAATGTTGCAAATATAACGTTATTTATTTTGTACATACATGTATTAAAAAATTATTTAACAAAAAATATTTAAATGACTCATTTCTGTGTTTTATTTCCTTTTATAAAGTGCAATTGCCTAAAGTTCTTTCTCACGACATTTTGTATGATATACAGTGTATAATCTTTTGAAAATCACACATCTCAAAATGTTTTTGGTGATGCATGTTCTCCATATTATTTAAACGAGAATGCACTAAAATGGTGACCTCTGAAAAGGTTTTAAAGAATATGGGAAAATGCACACGTTCAAGACGTCACTATAAGTACTTAGTAGGTCATCTGAGAAATACGATATGTATATTCCTTCTGCATGGAATTTCAACAGTTCAAAAAGTCGAAGTTTTAATTTCTTACATCACATCCATAGATTTGATAAGAAAACCAGGGCACTATATTTCCTGAAACCCTACCTTATTTTTAAGAAATGCATGTACAAATTTATGATAGTAATTTTAAAGTCTTGTTTTTTTTTAGCCTCTTAATTTTTACTTTGTTCACCCTAACAGTTGTCCAAGATGAAACTAATTACTTTGTTTCCTTTTTCGTGTCTCGGAATGTTGAAAACATTGGATGCATTTCCTCTACTGACCTTCTTTCGATAATTTTTGAACTTCGAAACAAACGAGAATAAAAACTTCCTCTGGAATATTCGTTCCAGCTACCATTAACATGAGAACGCCTTTTCGAGGTGGTATCATACACCCCTTCAGAGAGATCTTTATATGGATTCTCATCGAATTCCTCCTCTGGAATCGTGGCATATACGTTATCAATACTACAGACTGTCTTTCTGGAGACAGGTCGACCGTCATTTTCTTTACCGTGTCTTGTCGTGTTGTTTCTATAGAACATAACAGAACTCCTAGTACGGATAGACACATTTTTCAGTTTTATCAATTAACTCAATATTTTTCATTTATTCTCACATTGACAACAACGCTTTTAATTATATGAAAAAAATATGATTGAATGTTCCCTCTTACCTTTGCTTTCTACATCTCTTGACTGCCAGGATACCAACAATTATTATCGTCACTTCTACTACTCCAATTCCCGCCATCAGAATCACTGTATAAACAATAGACGAAATATAACGCTTCTTACATAGATTTATTATGTCATATTACAGCAATTGTAATCAAACTAATGTATTTGAATAATTTGAAAAGGTTTCTAATAACATAGAAATGATAGGTCTTTTCATTTCTGTTTTTTTTTATATTATTGAAAATCCTTTTATAAAAGTAATTAACATAGAATGCACAGACTGTATCTTTATGAATGAAACAAAAAGCAGCAGAAAAGGTGTTAAGGTAAGATTTTTCTTATCTTTCTAATAACACAGTTCATAGTTTAGAATTTTAGCTTTCAAACCAATTTCTTGACTGAGAACAAACGAGGTGCTTGTTTCTGTTGACGTTACAGCATTCAGCGTTGTGTTTGACGAGTTCGGTATTTCTGAATTTATCGTACGTTGTAGGTCTGAAAGCAAAGCCAAGAGAAGTATTGAACACTCTTGTGTAATACTGAGTACATAAATAATATTAACTTTTCAAAAATCCTGCTTAGAATAAAGGACGTGGTTCCATAAAGTTAAATCAAAGGTTAAGTATAGACGCTTATCCACTTATTTTACTTGAAGTCTGAGGAAATCATTGCTTCGAGGAACTCAGAACTCGGTGTCAAATCATTTGACTCATAACGTAACATTTAGATTTACACATGTCGACTCTTCATTTTAGATTTATATATGTCGATTCTACATATCCTATTGAACTCTTGATAAAAGACACTACAGCATCTGACACCTCTTTTTTGTGAAGAGATTTGTTGCTGAATATAATTAACGTTAATGATAATCAATTTGCAAACCAAGAGAGACTACTGACAAGTTATTGAAGCTAAATGGCTTTCAACAATCCCGTTTTAAGATGGTTTTTATAACTGTTGCCAGATCGGGCGATTTTTTTAGTAATCAGTTACCAAAAAATTGTCCAATCTAGTACCCGGTTATTCCAAAGATTTATTGTTAAGGTTTCCATTTCTATTGTTTATCCTATCCTTTTCTTATCGGCATCTTTATCAATAAACTCAAAAACACACTCATACCTTAATTGAAAATATTTTTTGATTTTTAAATGAAAAAAATAAATTAAACAATACAACCGCGATATTTTACAAGACTTTTCGTCACGTTTTATTTTCCAGACACCGATATTTGTCGTGGTCAATGAGAATTTTACAAATTTATAATCTCACCGTTATCTCAGATGGATTACATATTGCAGATTTTGAATCAGCTTTTATTTTAAAATATTTTTGGGCTATGCATGTTTTTGTCATCATCGTATAAAATTATAAAATGATATTATTATAACTCAGGTCTTCAAAACTTGTAAACTCATGACAATAAAAGATATCAATTAACTGTAAATTGGTCAACACAAATTGATCCTATTTGTGAACAACTAGATCAAGTCTAACGAAAAATAAAGTAAGGGAATTGTGCAGTTATACGTTTTTAAGTAATACAGGACTCCTCCTTGACACCAGATTCCACCCCTAGTGTTTCCAACGGTCTGTATGTTCGATTTTTCAAGATTTATTTGATCTGTGAGCTTAATCTTTCACTCTTCATTATCTGATTTTTGTGGAGATCGCGTTCCTGAATTGTATTCTTTAAATGGACTTTTGAGAATGATTATTGTTCTTTTTATGTTTCACGTCGTCAATTTTTACATTTATAAATAGTAGTAATTTTGCCTTTTATCTTATCTGAATTCTAATTATAAAAAAATATAAGCATTTTTATATCTTTGTTTGAAAAAAGACAATGAATGTCTTATCTAAAGATGCCATACATGTAATGCATAAATAGGTGTGGCTGCAACGTTATTGTTGACAACTTACACGAACGATCACGTTACACGAACGATTCCGCACGATTAACGCACGATTAAACCTGTTACACGAACGATCTTTCACGCACACAATTCTACACGTTACACAATCTTACACGATTGCTAAGTCAAAAGCACGATTCTTCACTCGAAATAGTTCAAAATATTTAGGAATCGGTATTTTCAAAACGAAATACGATAATCAAATCAATATTATTTCATAGACTTTGAAAAAAAACGGAAATTGATATTTCTGCATGTAGCTTAAATACATGTAAGACTTAATATTTAAGATTATAAATAATTACTTCTAAGGTAATTCTCCGACCTAAGAAAACGGGGTTTTTTCTTCTGACAGATTAGATGTACATGTTTGTGGGTCGAATAATAATTTGATTGAATTGGATTTCATGATATGCAGAAAGGGGGATACGATTGAAAAAAAAAATGGCAACATGGAATGACTTAAATTACAAATTATATCCGTATGTATTCATTGATACACTGTCCGTGAATCTCTAAAATTGAACATGCCAATTATTTATCTTTTTTTATTTGCAGAAATTTAAAATTGATTAATTAAAAATAAGCTCAAGAGATAAACACAGATAATAAAAAACTCCAAAAATCATGTCGTCTAAATATTTATGAAAGCATTGAGAAATGTTTATTTATTTGTAAAAAATATTATTTATTATCAATGCATTGATTTCAAAATTATCTTGACTACCATTAGCAGTAAATATTAATGAAATTCAGATTTTAAAAAAGCGTTAAAGATGTAAGTACGGTTTATCACATTTTGACGAGAACTTAATATTTTGTACGACTTACTATATTGCTTGTTTACGGGCGATAATGCATTAGTTCGTTCTGCATTCTATTATGTAAATTGCGCTTCATTCATTTTATTTGGATTTAAATCAATAAATTAACAAAAAAACAAGAGAAATGCTTATTTTACAAATAACATTCCGATAAAAACTTACAAAACGAAATTTACACGATTCTAAAGGCACGATCTCGCACGATTAAAAACGCAAACGATTGAATCTGACACACGCACGATCTCGCACGTTACACAAACGATTCTACACGATTGGTTTGTCAACAATAACGTTGCAGCCACTGTAAATATAAAAAAAATCTGTTATTTTATCAAACATATGCTTATTAATAAATTTAAAACTCTTTATCTTTTTAAAAAGATGTTAGAATCTCACTTAATTTTGTAAATAAAGAATTCAAAATTGTACCATAAATATTAATGTGCATTTTATTCTTTACCTCTATATCATAACAGTTTACGGAATTTCATCATAAATTAAGATATACTGTACATGAAATATATGGAGATAACGAACAGTACTCAACCCCTAAGCTCATTAAACAATACAACGTATGGAGCAGAGCTCTAAAACTTGGGTTCAGATGTGGGATCAGGTACCATGGTATGTGAGAATACTCTGTCGAACGTTCAAACCAGACGTGTGCCCCTTGTCATGATCGGGAAATAAAGGGGATCCGTCGAAAATTCAGTGGCTTAACAATGAGTTTGAAAAACATCAGTCGGCATTTGATTTCATGATAGATTGTATTTGCTGATATGGTCATTGTATCCATTTTAGAACTTACAAAATGATGACTTAAAACGACACTTCTGATTTTCTTCTTTCTTTAACTTGTTTGTAAATAACTCATACAGTTTTAAAAATCCTTCATGTATTTATAGCATTTAATCAAATTAATTTAGGATTGTAACATTACTTTTTTAAAATTAATTTTGTGTCATGTCTGTTTTATACTTACCAGTAGTTATAACAACACGTGTCTTTTTTGAGGATCTAGAAATCTCTGTTGAAGGCAGTTGTGGCAATGTTGCTTTAGCAGAATTCAAAACTTCACTCATAATCTCTTTTGATGTTGTTTGTTGACTGGCTATCAAATTCGGAAATTTTGTTGACATTTTTGTTTTTCCTGTAACTGTTGTTGATATTGGTGATTTTGTTGAAATTCTTTTTGGAATTGTTGTTTTAATTCCAGGTTTGGTTTTATGAGTAAATAAATCCAGTGTCGTTAATATATTTGATAATGGAGTCGTAGTTGATGCCAAAGTCATAGTTTTTGTTGATCTTGTTGAAATCTTCGATTCTGTTGTTAAAATGAACAGCATGTACACAGCAAAATGTGCCACTTACGTGTCACATACGTCAAGCGTATGCACAAGTACATTAAACATAATTTAATTACCATGTATGTTAAAGATACGTTTTAACACAGATGAATTAATGTCATGCGTGACTCATACATTTTAACATACGTGTTGACTAACATAATTATATTACATGCACACCCGTTAAACATTTTTTTTATTCATGTGATTTCCGTATGATGTTAATTTGTTTCGCGAAATGTATGCATGTGATTTGTTCATGAAATACACTGTTCATGTGATCAAAATGTATGTTTCCTATACCTTCACGTACCTATGTAAAACAATGCCTTGTTAAAAAAATATGTTTTTAACATTAATTCACATATTGAAAACATGGGTGAAATGGAAGATGATGTCCAATGAATAAAATTTTACGGAAGTGACGAATGCAGTTTTAACAAAGCTCAAATAAAAGTAAAAATCCCCTTTATTGATTCATTTTCAAATTTCCCGCCGATCGTCAATGCGAGTGAACAAAAATTATAATGTACAAATAAGTTAACAATTCTGATTGGTTACTTTATTGGAAGTCCATTTTTAGCATCCAGTCAATTTATGGTTGTTACTCACTATTTCGGAAATGTAAAAAGCATGCCAACATGAAAGCAGAAAATGTCAAATTTTACGAAAGTTGATAATATTTTGTCTTTATATACAATAGTTTTTCCAAGACAGTTATAGCTTCGAGGAAAATCAATTAGATTTTCTCCGATGTCGGAGTTAAAAAAGAAATTAAAGAAATAATCAGCATACTTTTAGTTGAGGGTATCCTAAGAAGGATTGATGCTTTTGCCTTTCAGTGGTACCATATTACACATGCATTTTTTATTACAATTTTGATACCTTTTATTAAGGTGAATGCACATGCAACAAGCAATTGGCTTGATAACTGCCCTCCAGCAAAAACAAAAAAAAAACAAAAAAAAAAAAAACAAAAAAAAAAAAACAAAAAAAAAAAACCTAAATCGCCTGAATCAGTAAAAGCATAAAGGTAACTAGAAACGATCTCGTTGCGAGCAACGAGAGGTCTTCCGTCCGTTTCAGGAAAAGAACCTAAAATCGAGCTGAAAAAGTG